TTCTGGCTCATCAGGGGAGACAGCAATTTAGTTAATTTCTGGGCAGTCTATCATCTATTATCATTATTGGATCAAAGTGGATACCAGTGCCTCTTTGTCAGCACTGTTTGGGCTTATTTATTTCCTCAGTGAAAGAATTTTTTGGCATTTTTTCCGAGGTATAAAAGATGCAAGATGGGTAGAAAATTCTTCCACACAGTGCGGCCACACTGCAAACCTGGGAACATAACAGTTGTTTTTCAATGAGGCCAGAAGTGTTCTGCTCCTTTGCCCAATTTAAGATCATATAATTGTTTAAGAGGTACAAACAGGTAAGAGAGAGCTAAGGTTATGTGATACAGGATGAGGCTGCTACCTTATCTTACTTAGTGTAATGCTGTTGTGGGGACCTTGAGACATTTTGGACTCTCATAAACTCTAGTCAGCAGGGCCAGGGGTCAGAGGTGATCAGAGCTGCAGTCCATTCCAAATCATCTTGTCTACTCTAGATTTGTTGGAGCTTCTGGGGTCTATCAATGTGTCTTAGATTGTGTCTGTTTCCATGCCAGCTTCAAGGTAATGATTTCTTCTAACATTTAAAGCCCTAAATGGTTTGCCACCGCAATACCCAGCAGAACACCTACCGTATTTTTCCATGTATAAAACAACACTTTTTCCTAAAACAATTAAAGGAAAAATTGAGGGTTGTTTTATACTTGGAAGTAAGGAGGGGGGAGAAATCAAAGTGCTTTGATCCCTGTTTTCCCCTGCACTTTTTGCAAAGAAAATGGAGGGGGAAACCTGGGGGTCCCTGCCTCCGCGATGGGCGCCTTCGGAGCTCCCAAAGGGCTTCCTCTGATGTCAGGAGGAAAGCCCTTTGAGAGCTCCGAAGGCAAAAAGGCAGGGAGAAAGGGCGTGAAATTCAAATTTCCAGCCCTTTCTCCCTGCCTTTTTTCAGGGAGTCATTTACAAACGGTTCCGTTGGCAAAAAATGGCATTGACTTGCGAACGGAGCCTCGACCTCATTCATAGGTCGAGCTCCATTCGCAAGTTGATCCCAATTTTTGCCAATGAAGCTGTTTGTAAATCGAAAAGTCCGTATGTAGGGCCGTTCGTAAGTTGAAGGTTGATTGTATCCAAGCATGTAACTGAGGATAGATACAAGAATAATTTTTTTAAAAAAATTGAAAACTACACATACAGTGGATAATTTGCAGCCAAATTTAAGAGTTTACATCCAATTGATCTGAAAAGAAGAGATATGAGTTTGTACTAGAATTATAATTGTGGGAGTTTAAATGAGCGTTGGAAGTGTTGTATCCCCATTCTCCCCTTTTTCTTCTTCACAAAATACTTTCTGATGTGCTTGCCTCTGGCAGAATCTAGTAGCTGACTAGAACTCCCTAAGTTCTTACACTATGGAAATAAATCCAAATAATCTAGTTAATTAACATTAAGACCATATTGTGATTGCAGAGGACAGCTAGGTATAAGGGAATTCTTCCATGGTGAAAAACTTGTCAAGGATAATTTCCAAACCTGAGATAGAACAAGGTTTGTGTTAATGAGCAGCCATGTTTGTACAGGTGTGCAAGAATGACGAGTCCTGCTGAGTCATGGATGATGCAACATCTGCAGTGACTAGCTATATGCAAATATGTATATGTACATATATGTGGATATGTACTGAAGATGTATCCAGATCTCTTACTTGAATGTTATCCTGTCATGTTGTCAGTTGATGCTGCTGTACATACTGTAAATATACTCTGGTATTGGGAGAAGCTGCCTGTTTCTGTGTAAGTTATTTGGACTACCTGGACTGGACGAGACTCTGCTAATTTTTGCCAGTGCTGCGCCAACAAAACTTCTGTTATGGATGTTAGTTTAATGGCTGTGAAGCTCCTCTGAAGAGGTATTTATGGCAATACTTCATAAGCGGTGCCTCAATAATGGGCAACTTGCAGCAACTGGGGTCTCTGCCAAAAGGCAGTATCTGTGCATGAAAACAGGCAGCGGAGACATCAGCTGCATTTCAAGAGGCAGACAAAAAAACTCTGAAGACAAATCCCCCCTCTAGGGTGGAACATCCTTGCGGGTGGAATTAAGGAAAGCCTGTTTCATGCTTCTCTGTAGCATCACCCAGGCATGAAATCTGCGCTAAGAATGGATTCCAGAAGAGGTAAAGAAGTGAATAAAAATGTTTTCACCACTGCTCCTTGTTTTCTTCTTTCTGATGCCAGTGATCTGCAAACCTATGCACTCCTGGGAGCAAGAATCACTGAATTCAGGCCTTTTGGGTCTCACCATTACTGTACCCTTGAAATGAGGTTCCTTCGTAGTTGCAGAAGTGAAGACAAGAGAGACTGGAAAAAGACTGAGGGACACCCCCCTATTAGCTTACATGGGTTCTCTGGAACCCATTTGAAAACTATTGCCCCAGAGAGGAACCTATATAAGAAATGGAAAGAACAAGCAAGAAGGGGGCACTTCCCATCAGCCCCACCTTCTTGTATCAAGGCGCATATCCAAGAAAAAACAGATGTCTTGCTACAGAAACCAGAGAAAAAGAGTAAGTTAGGTTCTCTAAACCAAGCAAGGACATGTGTTTGGCTAATGTAAATACAGCACGAAAACTGACTAACTGGGCACTTTCTCTATATAGAGATGGTGTCTGTGTTAAGAGAATGTAATGTATAGATTAGCCTGTAAAATATGTATACATTAGAATGTATAATGTATAGATTAGAATATAAAGGTACATTCACACACAGACGTTTTCATCAGTCAGTAGCTGTAGCATCATTATTGATCTGAGAATGGGAAGAACCATTCCAACTAAGACATGACAGATACAACATCCAGTCACGGCTGCATGATTTCAACACTCTACAGTTTCTTGCTTTTCGCTGCCCCAGTAGACAGGATTCAGGAGGGCAGATTTTTACAGGGTATAGTTGCTGGAGAGGAGAGAGCACTGGAGATTTACAGTTATGTGAAAAAGAAAGCATACCATCTTTGAATGCTATGCTTTTATTTATCAGGACATAATAACAATCATCTGATCCTTAGCAGGTCTGAAAATTAGGTCAATACAATCTCAGACGAACAACACATGACATATTGCACCATGTCATGATTTATTTTACAAACACGAAGCCAAAACGGAGAAACCATGTGTGTAAAACTAAGTACACCCGTACTGCTTCCATAGGAATTAAGAGGCTAAGTAGCAGCCAGGTGCTGATAACTAAATGCCCCTGAGTAACCTGATCATCAGCAAGTGTACCCACTTCTATAAAAGCAGAAGTTTTAGCTGTTTGCTGGTCTGGAGCATTCAGTTGCGTTTTAAAACAATGCCAAGGAGGAAGCACATCAGCAATGATTGTAGAGAAGCAATTGTTGCTGCCCATCAATCTGGGAATTGTTATAAGTCCATTTCCAAACTATTTAAAGTCCATCATTCTACAGGAAGGAAGATGATTCATAAGTGGAAAACATACATGATAGTTGCCAGTCTTCCCAGGAGTGGACATCCAAGCAAATTCATTCCAAGGTGAATAGCTCAGAGAAATTGCTAAAAATCCAAGTGTTACATCTCAGGCTCTACAGGCCTCAGTTAGCATGTGCAATATTAATGGTCATGATAGCACAATTAGAAAAAGACTGAACAAATATGGTTGGTTTGGAAGGGTTGCCAGGAAAAAGTCTCTTCTCTCTAAAAAGAATAGGGCACCATGGCTTAGGTTTGCAAAGTTGTATCTGAATAAACAACAGGACTTCTGGAACAATGTCCTTTGGACAGACAAGACCAAAGTGGTGACATTTGGCCATAATGCACAGTGCCATATTTGGTGAAAACCAAACACAGCATATCAGCACGAATACCTCATATCAAGCATGGTGGTGAAGGACTGATTATTTTGTTTTGCAGCCACAGGACCTGGGCATCTTGCAGTCATTTAGTCGACCATGAACTCCTCTGTGTACCAAAGTATTCTACAGTCAGATGTGAGGCCAACAAATGCCCACAAACCTCAATGAACTGAAGCAATGTTGTAAAGAAGAGTAGGCCAACATTCCTCCACAACAATGTGAGAGACTGATAAAGTCATACAAAAAATGATTACTTCAAGTTATTGATGTTAAAGGTGGTTCTACAAGCTATTGAATCATAAGGTGTACTTAGTTTTTCACACATGACTTCTCCATTTTGCCTTTATTTCCGTTAAATAAATCATAACACAATGTAATGTGTTTTGTTCATTTGAGGTTGTATATACCTAATTTTCAGATGTGCTAAGGATCTGATGATTTTTATTATGTCTTGATATGTAAAAGCATAGAATTCAAAGAGGGTGTGCTTTCTTTTTCACATAACTGTATGGTATTCTGTGGTTTCTATTTATTTTAAGATACACAATTTCAGCATGAGGCACTGGACAAATATCCAAATGTAGTGTTACTTAAAGATGTGCAGATATGCGCTTTTGAACCACAACTCCTAGAATTCTCCAGTCAGCAAAGTTGTGGTTCAAAAGTACAAATCTGCATACCTTTAGTGCTTGTCTTTACAGCAACATCTGCTCCTGCAAAAGGAAATAAATGCCCTTGGAGGCCACCTACCTCAGCTATGGTTTTGCCAAATAGTGGCAAAAACTCAGGCTTGCTATATGTTCTGCCAGTGCCAAGCTGGTTTTGTTCAGCTTCCACCCTCAGTGAGTGAGGATTTCAACAGAGAGTATCCACTAGCCATTAAAAGGTATCAATGGTTATTTGAACACTTCTTCTGGCTATAAGCATATATGAAAAAGTACATTCTTGCCAGGTAACTATACATATACCTAAAAGAACGCATATATCCTTATTTTGCTTGGCCATTAAATGTTCAGAACCCATAAAATGTTCAGATTTTTTAGAAGAACATTTCAGAAAATCACATATGCAGCTATTTGTTTACTCAGAAGGAGTTATTCTCCATTTGAAAAAAAAGGTCTCATGTCATTGTACAGAAGGCTTACCTGTGAGGGTAGTCTTAGTTGTGGCCCCTGGCTTACGTGGTACCAGAACTTCATGGTACTGCTCACCAGCCAGAGTGCTGTACACAACTTTGAAGTTCTCTACTTCTGCCTCACTGTTGTCCCACTCAAATTCCAGTTGGTCAAATGTTCGGGAGAGTACACGCAAGTTCTTTGGAGCATCAATTTCTGCATTAAAAGAAAGGAAGCCAGAATACTTCACTTAACTTTGGTCCTGTCTGTAGCTGCAGTACATCTCCTCTCCTAAATCATAAACAGACATACCAAATGCAAAATGTTTTCATAATACACAAATTTAAGCCTTTTCACAACTCTGTTTGTATGTTTTATGTTTGGAAACATTAGTGTAAGAGTCTGGAGCTCTCCTAACACAATACAGGATTCTTGCTGTGTCTTCTTGTGTGATTCCAGACATCATCACATACGAATTTAGAGCAATAATTCTTGTACAGAGCCAGATAACTAGCTCATTAACTAATACTAATGATAACCTTTATCATTTATGTAATGCATTAAAGTATGCAAAATTTTTATGGTCTTTATCTAATTAGAATTTGGAGAACATTGTTAGCCTTGGCTTCCAGTGTGTACACACACGTACACACACACACACATGTGACAAACCCAGACCTACTGGGATCTGCCACACTTTCACTAAGCTGCCACCAACCATTCCCTATAAGAAGTCACACAGACCAGGGATGGATTTTTAATAAATAAAGAACAAGGTTTATTTAAAACAACACACAGGGAAAATAAAACGATCAGGTGAATAAGATATAGTAACGTGGCTTAGTCTCATTCATACATGCATACAGTTTGGTTCACACAGAACCCTTAACTTGAAGCACAGACCCTGAACCTATCAGTTCTGGCTAACCAACAGACACCTGAACCTATCAGGTTGGTACTCATCACTGCTCTATGTAACAACACACACACACACACACACACAGAGAGAGAGAGAGAGAGAGAGAGGATATCTCAGTGAACAATATATATACAGCGGTGTCCAGCTACATGGTTACCATGCTTGATGATGAATCCGCTGTATGATGAGTTTTTTGTGATCACTATAGCGATTGCAAAACAATGATTCAAAGGGTTTTTTTTGCTTTATGACGCTTAATGACGATTCAAAACAGCTGATTGGCGGGTCGCAAAATGGCTTCCCGCTGTGTTCAGGACAGATTCTTCGCAAGACAGGGACCGCAAAATGTAGTGAAAACAATCTGGCATATTTTCCCCCACTGTCCTGAGGATCCCAAAGGCCTCTCCAGGTCAAAAGGGATCCCAAGGGAGACTTTGAACTTGAGTGGATAGAAGAAACTTTTAATGCAAATAACAATGATTCAAAACCATGTGACAGTCACAAGATTTTTGAATCACTGTTCACATTTCCACCAGCAGTGTTTCCATCACCAGCTGTTTGGCATTGGAAGGAGCCAACCACCGTCTCTTCTGGCACCACCTGTCAAACCAAGGTTAGTAATGGGTGGTGGGCAGGGGGTGATGGGGTGGGGGCAGTGGGGAGAATGGAGGGAGAAGAGGATAAGAAAGGGAAAAGGGTGGAAGGTGAAAGAGGGGCCAGTAGTGAGGGTAAGGGGGGGAGGATGTGGGGACTGAGAGGGGGGTGGGGCAGGAAGCCAGCTATCGGATGGGTGGTGGTGGGACCTGTGCTTTAATTTTTATTTTATTTTATTTTTATTTTTAAAAATTCATGCTATCTGGTATTGTGCTGTATCGCATAGGAGGATTTTTTTAAATAAGCAGGAGGGATGTTCACATATGTGGAATCAATTATTTGGCATTCCAAAGAATCAATTGTACATCTTTAATAATAATAATAATATAATTTATTGTCATTGTAAGTATATACACAGTATACCCATACAATGAAATTCTGTCGCAAAATAAACAAACCTCTGGAAGGGGAGCAGAAAAAAAACACTCTTGTGGTACAGTAGTCCATATGCGCATGTACCTCGTGTATACACTTAACTTTGTTTTTTAGTTTTTTACAGAAGCCAATGTAACAGCTGGCCTTTTGTCAGTGGGATCTGGTGTGGTGATATTTGTGTTGGGACTGAGCCTTACTTTCAGCAAGGGAGGAGACAGCCCTGGCTGGCTCTTTTCTTTCCCAGTGCCATATTGCTGTTTTCTTTCTTTCTTTCCCAATATAGCTGCCACCAGTCTCCTACATAAGTGGTTTGTTCACTTAATCACAGCTTAAATAGGTAAAGGTAAAGGTTCCCCTTGACATTTAGTCCAGTCATGTCCGACTCTAGGGGGCGGTGCTCATCCCCATCTCCAAACTGTAGAGCCAGCATTTTTTGTTCGTACACAGTTCCCGTGGTCACGTGGCCAGCAAGACTAGACACAGAACACCGTTACCCTCCCACCAAGGTGGTACCTAGTCATCTACTCCCATTTACATGCTTTCGAACTGCTAGGTTGGCAGGAGCTGGGACAAGCGACGGGAGCTCAATCCGTCACATGGATTCGATCTTATGACTGTTGGTCTTCTGACCTTGCAGCACAGAGGCTTCTGCGGTTTAACCCACAGCGCCACCATGTACCTGGTGCAAATCCCATCACTTTGCACATGCTCAAAGTAACCAATTTGCACAGGGACTTGAAACAAGAGGCTTGGCTTACTGGACTTGCTTAACTTATGTGGCTCTGCAAGATTATTTTGTACCTTGTTGTATTGGTGCATTTCTTACCAGGATTCCCTGTGTGCATGACATGCCCTGCTTCTTTTCAGAATCAAAGCCGAAAAGGTGGCCGCCATTACTGCAGTGTACACATTAATTTTTTTAAAAAAAATTGTGACTGATACATTGATACAGTGGTAAAAGTATGTCACAGGGGTACTATCACGTGGATATCCTACGTCCATTGTATGTAATGCATTTCTGCAGGAGCAGCCAATGCAACAGAGGACACTTTCCTAAACAGAAAATCCTTTCCTGATCAATGTTCCCTTTAATTTTCAGCTCCGCTGGGCAGGGCTCCACCCCCAATGCATGGGTCTCCCAGTGCAGGGTTCCATTGTGACCCGAATGAAAAGGCCTGGAAATCATCTCTGTGGGAACACAGGAGAGGACGAAAGCTGTGCGGAGGGGTCCAGAGTCATGCTTGCTCTTGCAGTCACAGACATTAGAGGGAACCTTGTTGCTCACATATTGATATATCAATAAATATCAGAAGAACTGGAAAACATTTCCCTTGTGTGACCATGGCCTTAATTTGCAAGTCTGACTACTCAACCACACATATCTAAGGAGAACGTATTGTCACAGGAAAAATAGTTTATGGACTAATTGCTGGGAAAATACCTTCACTAATACAGTAAGGATGGAAATATTGACAAAGACTTTATTTGCATGGTACAGGAGATTGTACCTCTTTAATCTGAGACAGTGAGGATGTTTTGTTTGGCCTTGGAGAGATTTTGTATATTTCAAAACTAATTTTTTTGTACATTTCTGTTAAAAATTACATAAAATTTTGCACATTTCTGTAAAATGTGCAAAATTTAGCAACATGAAAATGATTGCTTTGTTGCATAGTCTATTAACCAGAACCATTAGATGGGTTGTTTGCAGCCTTGTGGCCAATAAGACTGTCATTTTGTGCTTTCTATATGTGTGCTCAGCTTCATAAAGGGAATACTAGCTTTGTGTAGTAACTTTCTTATTCACATTGAGGAAAATATACAGTATTGTGGGAATTTAAAAAGCTTATTTCTCCATCATGTGCTGTAGGATCCTCAACAACATATCATGTTGTCTCAGACCAGATCTCATCAAATGTAAGATTATTTTTATGTGTCTTTGGGCAAGAGACTGACTTTTGTGTACATTTGAGATTTCCTGCCTTTTCACTTTTGTGAGATCCAGTGCCACCACAACACTGCTTTATGTAAAATGTGAGCATTCCATGATGTGTGAAGGAGAAATGAGAAATGTCTCCTGCAACATTTTTGTTTCCTTATTTGCTTTTTAAAAATTATAGCATTTTATCAAAATAAGTCGAATGAAAGACTCAGCAAATCAATAAATGGGCATATCCCTTACTCTTAAGTACAGTCAGCAAGATATCATCATAGAGACAATACAAAGCACTTGTATCCATCTATAATCTTTAGGACAGGCAACAGTTTAGTCATAAAACAGCTGTAAAATCTGTTTTCCATTTTTTATGAACCAGTAAATTAAATCTGATAGTTGTCTATGAGGTTCAATTTGTTTAAATTTCCCTAAGTACTCATACATACAGTATATGATACTAGAGTGTAATGTACTTATTACTAGAGCATGGATATGTTCCTGAGTATCACACACACACACAAAACCCTCTCCTATTTCACAGTTGAAAGCTCCTTGAAGTATGTGAAAAGGGAACACACTCTATCCAATAACTTTCTTTTTCTGTGCGAACCTTATAGATTAAGCCCCCTCTGTATAAATGATAGAGTGCCTATGAGAAGATTGTTATGCAACAGGCACAAAACAGCAGTATGCTACCTAGAGACCTAAACCTGGTTTATCTATAGGTTCATTTTTGTGCAAGACAGAGCCCAAGGATTGTAGGCAGCACCTGTGGGGATTTTGTAGTCTAAAGTTCCATCTTGTGGCTATTAAGGGATACATCACTGGTGTTTAGCATAATCAAGCTATTGTAGTATAAAGATGCATTGTTCTATGATTCTCTCTCTGCGCAGGCGTGGAATGCCTTAAGACTGATAACCACACGACGCCTCTATGGCCAAATTCTTATCTTATGCTAATTTTGCTTGTTTTGCGTGCTTAATAAAAACGTCTGGGGTGAAGAAGGTAGCCATCTTCTTCTTCTTCTCTACCGGTACCTGAATACTAACAAGATAAAGTCTGCAGTGTCTTTTTTATCAGAGAATTCTCTCATCAGCTGTTGTCAGGCAGGCCTGGTAATAGTTCCCTGGCTATTTTCCCACAAGCACCAAACCATTTTTGTGAGCCACAGAGCTCTTTTTGCTGAATGTCAGTGGTGTGGCAGTAAAAAAGAACGATCCCATTTTTACATTTCTAGAATGCAGTGGTCCTCCTAGAAGCCTCTGAATTTAAGTGTGCACACTCTGCAACCCTTGTTTCAACACACACAGAGAAATGCTTTCCTTCCACACGACAAATGCTGCTGAGCTGTTGAGTTTCAGTGGTGGGCAGCAACAGAAGGGGTGCAGCTTGATCTGTCCTCATTTGTAAATTTTTCCCCAAAATCTCATGGAAAGATCTCTGTCGAGACTAACAACAGAGGTCCTTCAAAGTGGAGATGCCAAAGACTGAAGCAAGAACCTCTAGAAGGTTCAATAGAAACTACTAAGCTATGGGCCTTCCCTGCATTACAGATATTGGTAGGCAAAGTACTTATGTACAAATGCATTTTTGATTGCAGGTTAACAACTCTTCTCTTAATACTTGATTATCTTAGGGATACCTGTGACAAAGTGGGTGACTGCAGCATCACTCTCGTTGGTCCCACGGACAGCAGCAATGGAGACCTCATATTTTGAGCCAGGTCGTAGAGCCTGCATGGAATACTGGCTCAAGGGAGGCTGAAGCCGAAAAGTGGTCTTTCCTCCTTCCCCATTCTCCAGGCCATACTTCAACAAAATATAGTCCACTTTAGCCCGAGGTGGAGTCCATTCAACAAAGGCCACAGTATCTGAGATATCTCGCACCAGTATCTGGGTTGGCCCATCAATTACTAGACACGATACATAAATAAAGAAATGGGGGAGGAAAAGAAAACAAATTACAAGAATAGCCACAGAAAATCTTCAAAACTCATTCCTTTAGGACTTCCAGTCAGGAGGCCGGGCTTGAAAAGTTTCTCGTGCAGAAAAGAAGGGGGCATGTTTCACTGAAGGTGGGCAATTTTTACCCTCACATAAGTGGACCCTCTACTTACAGAATTAATCCGTATTGGAATGGTGGCTGCAGGTCAAAAAGTCTGTAGGTCGAGTCTCCATTGACCTACAATGCATTGAAAACCGATTAATCCCGTAACCGGCTGTTTTTATTCCATGTTTGTTCCATTTTTGTTTTTTTCTGGTCTGTAGGTTGATTCTCTGGCTGCAGGTTGAACCTAAATTTTGCGGCCAGAGAAGTCTGTAACTCAAAAAGTCTGTAAGTTGAGCTGTCTGTAAGTCGAGGGTCCACTGTAATCTTTTCTGGCATAATCAAGTGTGCAACAGTTTAATTTAGAAAACAACAACAACCACCTACATTCTGCAGAAGACCAGAGAAATGTAGTCAAGATATTAAGTGAGCACTTTAGAATGGGTCATTGCATCTCATAGTGCCTGTGAGATCCGAGCAAAGGCCCATTTAGTCCAGTTACTGTAGACAGGCACTTCTGGGAACTCCACAAATAGTGCCTAAAGATGATGACTTCAGTCCTTCTTTAATATTTGCCCCCACAGTATCTTCTATCCAGAGGTATATTGCTGCCCCTAAATATGGGAGTTCCTTTTGGATATTCAGTGCTTTGAAAATATAATTAGCTATATGTATAACATTTAGCCCCCACCCTAAAAAGGATGATAATTGCTACAAACACAACCCTTTCCTTTCCTGTTCTGCAAAAGTAATTGAGATAGGTTTTTATGCTGGGGGGGGGGAATCACACCTCAGAGCCATAAGCCTGCAGCTGCATGTGATATTCTTCCACAGGCCCATAACTATAAAAGTGATTAAAAGATTGCAATTATACTACAAAAAAGTAAAGCTGTCTCTTTTTGAGTTAAACTCATGCTGTACCTTAATTAAACCCTCATTAGTGGAAACAGAAACTCATAAAAATTAAATTCCAAGCTCTGACTATTACTATGAAGATCTAAACCTATCAAGAATGGAAGTGCTGTCAACTTTCAAACTGGTATGGAATGATAACTATGATTTACTCACAGGTTGATACACTGGCTGAGGCAGGTGGACTCCGGGCTTGTTCCTTGAGGGCTACCACATTGACTGTGTACTCCTCACCTGGTTTCAGTCCTGTCTGGTTGAAGGTTGTCACGCTGCTAGGGAGCTGTGCAATTACACCCCCTTCATTGTCCTGAGGACATAATAAAAGCTGGTTCAAAGTCTAGAAGATGCAGCAGTGCACCAGTTCTTAATTGTCTCTCTTCTTTAGGTAAGCAGATAGTTTTATTTTAACATGTAAGTTAAATAAGGCCCAATACGTCTCAGTCTTTGATTAATTCCTTTAACATACTCAATCTGTTGAACAAGATTCAGTTTCTTAATCCTTGGGCTGAACTGCATACTGTGAAAGAGGCACATGAAAAAGATCTCTGTATCTTTAAACATTCAAGTTTAAAGCAAGGATAGGTAACCTGGGATGGTACATTTAGGATAGTCTGAACTACCCAGTTCAGTATTATTGTACTGGCCATTTCCCTTATTTCAGAAGCTCTTTGCAAACAAGCAGTTCAAACTGGAGAAAAAGTGACCTGTGTGTGCCAGCATGTAAGCCGCCCCGAGTAGACGTTGTCTAGAGGGGCGGGGTAAAAATTGAATAAATAAATAAATAAATCTCTGACAAATTATCCCATAAGGATGTAGCCCCTTCACAGAAGTGCCACCCCTATTTTAGCATGTCTGCAAATTGCAGCATCCAAGATTGTGAGGTAGGGAAGGCAGTGTAGATTATCTTCACTATCATTCCGTAAGGTAGTCTAACACTCTAACCCCTACACCACACTGCCTTTCATATATAGGTATGCATGTATGCATGAACATATTTACATAACAAGGTCTTTCTGTTCTGCGTTTCCAGTTTTGGAGAAATATTCAAGGTGGCTAATATCAATAAATACAATATAGAGCGAGAACAAGCATATTATAAAACAATTCAGTAAGATGTAAAGCAGTCAAGATCATGGAGAGCTAATAAATAAAAGTCAGTTTTAAGCCACAGACAAGCAAAAAGCTCTTAAGCACTAGTTTCCAGCCAGGGATGAACATGGAAACAGAGGGGACAAATGAACAGCTTGAGGTGCAGCATCCCACATCTGTAGTACTGCAAATTCCTCTGCATATAATTTCTACTTAACAAACTCCTGCAGAACTAAACTGCAGGATAGCTCAATGATTTAAGTTTCACAGGTCAGGAGTTTGATTCCCTGCTATGCCTTCTTGACAGGGGCTGGACTCGATAATTCATAGGGTTCCTTCCAGTTCTGCAGTTCTTAGATGATGATGATCTCAGAAAGTGGCAGGACAAACACAACAATCTCATCAAAAGACCTCACATTGCTATGATATCCAGCTGCAGCAATGAAATGTTGGTGGCTTGCTTTTCCAAATTTACCTACTCTGTTTATCCTTCTCCCATGTGAAGTACATTTTGCCTGTCTTCATTTCATAAATGGTCTTCTGGAGTACATCACGTAGATTAGAGAAAGAGGGTAACGGATCCAAGCTCACCCCATGTGTTTCAAACCTTAATAGAACAGAAATCTGGCTCTTCTGGATCTCATCCACATGAAGTGAAAAGTGAGACCCTTTCTTTTGCAGTGGATAAAGTCTTGAATACGCACCCTATGAGTGCGTATTAAGTTCAAAGAGTTGACTTAATATGTCAGGGTCTTGAAGATTCTCCTGGGAAAAAAGAATCTGATCTGGAGAAAGCCTCATGCAGCAATGCTTTTTTGCTTGGATCTTGATGTAGGCTAGGATACTCATTTTGAGTATTTCATAGGAAACTGTAAAGCTGGTAACATCGCAATCTCACTTCTACGCTTGCAGTTTTTCCATAACAGCCAAAGCAGGATTGGCAACTTTTCAAGGAGCTCATATGGTACAGCTATGTCTGATGCACCAACATTGGGTTCATCCAGCAGGAACATTTGTTCTTCACTTCTTGTGCTGGTTGGTGTCATTTGGTGCTACTGAACTGCAGATCTTACTGTACTTTCTGTTCGCACTATTCCTAAAATACACGTCTCTTCTAAGAAACCAGCCTCTCCTCAAGAAATCATTTAAAACCCTTAACACAATATAAACGAAACTTTCAAAATGAGTTTAAAGAACCTTTAAAACCTCTGCTCCTCTCTTCACTTTACTAGATTACTGCTAAATTGAAAGCTTCTGTGAGAGCCTTTGGCTTATCTCCTACTGTGGTTTTGAAAATCAGCTGTCTTTTCACAACCCTGCAGAACAAACTTAAAGAAAACCTTTGTAAATGATGTGATCTACTGGAACTTTGCTTCCCTTCCTTCTTTGCTTACTGGATTAGTGCTAAAACTGAAAGCTTCCCCATCTGATTAGAGGCATTGGAAGAAAGCATTAATAATCCACTTCAGAAATCAACTGTAAACTATGAAGATTATTTTATTTGATTAATATGTTTGTTTGCTGTGTTAGTAGGTTAGCACTAACCTGAAAATGTATAACCCAAGAAGCTCTTGGTACTTGAATTCTTTGGAAATGCAAAGTAAAAAGGGGGAGGGATTGGACACCTATAGGATTGGGAGGTGGTTTAAAAATACATGGAAAATGGTGGTCACTGTTTCTCGTGTTTGGTTCTCATTTATTTTTCATCAGGAAAAATACCAGTATCATCTGTTTAAAGAAAGTGCAACAATTGCTCCATTTGGAGAAGCCCATGAATAGAGATAATGCTAACCTCCAAACTGTGAAAGGCTTTCTTTGCTAATTCCTAGAAAACAAACTGCCTTTAAAGGCTCAAAAGGAAGCAAAGCAGTCTTCTGTTCAGCTAACAACTCTAGTCCAAAACTGCCCTTAATTTTTTAATTGTGTGTCATTAAATTAATTCTGATTTAGGGGATTATTTTTTTAGGCTTCCCTTTTCACTCATTTCCTTTTAATTTTTAAATGGATGCAACTTTCTCCTTTGAGAGTGTGGAGCATTAAGGCAACTTCACACCTATGTTACTGCACCCTGTGCTGTTCAACATTGGAAGACTTGATGTTAGCTCCCTCAAAATGTTCTTGATGTTGTCCATTAGATATCTGATATATTTATTAATTGTATCGTAGTGCTTCTGACATGAACAAAGAAATAACCTTCTCCAGTCTCACAGAATGATTGTTTCATTATTTTTTGGGTGCTCATAGACATACATTTTACTCATTCATTGAATCCTCAGGAAAGATTTGCGTAACCATTTCTTATTTATGCCACATAGTAGTATCTTATCCAGCAAGGCTTTTATCTACAGTAATTTTGAATAGGAATTACAAATGTATGTTGTTGTTTTTTAAGATCTTCCACTTGCAAAGGAATTTTGCAAGCATACAAGAGGGAGAGAAGAGAACGTCAAAGTGAACAAGCAATCAAGGGCTTGTAAAATCACCAAAAATCCCTCTGGTACTTTAACAACAGCTGTGAAATTCAGACAGCCTTCATCAGTGTCTCCTCATCTTGCTTATGTTTTTCTGCTGATTTTGTTTGTATCTTTAACTGCTGTAGGTTTTCATATCTCTAGGAATTAATTGTGCTTTTTGTTCTTGGATGAACCTTCATTAAATGTCATGTGCATTTCCATATGATAAGTGAATAGTTCTTGTCTACATGTTTGCTATGCAAACATAGTCTAAATCTACAATTACAGTTGTAAGGTTAATCTTCACTACTACTATAGAAATTTCCCACAATAATAATGAAAATGCACACATAGTTATTTTGTCCCATTCAACTACGTATAGTCTTAGATTAAACAGGTTTGTATCGTTCATCCAAACTTAGTATTTGCAACAACTGCTGTAACCATGCAGACCCATAAGGTTTGCTGAAGTATATTTAAATTTTTATTAGCCAATTTGAAAATATAACAGATTTACTAAATATGTGAAATTAACATGCAGTTCTATGTGTAATGATTGATTTCTCACTGCTTTGAACTGTGAAAACAAGAGTAATTTAGCTCCAGCTGTGGTACTTACATCATGTTCATCATTTAATGGTAGCAGCAATTGCCTTATAACATGATGGCATGAAAAATATATCAGTCATATTTCAGCAGTTATGGGAGGTGTGTGGTGGTAGAGCTACTGTAATTAGTGAGATCAGTGTGTCATTTCTTCATAGATATTGGGAATGGGGAAGCATAGCAATTGTGGTATTTAATACCCATGTTAATAATGCAGTGTCCAAACTACTACTGCCATAGTAGTTTGATAGAGACAAGAAGTCTACCTTGCTGAAGCAAAGGAGGTTCTTGTGTATCAAGCTACTCCATCCACAGCACAGTAAGCCCCAAACAGAGGACAAGCAGCTTTTCGCAGAGCAACTTCTTTCACCTGCTTCCTCTCCCCTCCCCTCCCCTATCCCAACTGATCTGAATGTCATTGCCACCAGCGAAGACAGTTCTCCTGTAATTCTGACAACTTAGAAACATTACTGCCTCCTTCCATTGAGAAGGGAGTTGGAAGAAGGACAGCTTCAAAAAAATGCAGTTACCTTGGGAATGAAGCTGATCTCCCAGCCATCGAACAAGAAGGGAAAGGGTTCCCATTGTACCTCCACAGTGGTCTCTGTGATCGCTTTGAAGTGCAGCTCTTGTGGAGTGGAGAGTTCTGGAACAGAGGGGGGAAGGCGAGGAAAGTGCTGTGTTAGCTGCACAGGAACTTCAACTGCCTACCTATAGCCCACATCTCTACTTTGCACTGTCTAAGCAAGTTCAATTGTGGAGGAAACTGGATATAATGAGAAAAATCCCTGGATATGTTGAGTAAACTGGGCATGTCTCTTCTCTATTCTGGCTGATTTCCCTGGTGGATTAGATAAAGGCTAGATGTCCAGCACAACAACCTAGGAATGGGTAGAAAAATGGCCTTTCAACTCCAGCAGGTTGTACATCACAGAAAACAGAGTTAACCATGAGAGCCAAATGCTGAAATTTACTCGCAAGGAAGAACTTGAACATACTGTTCTGTTACCATAACTATACTATATTTTGTGGTTGCAAAGTCTACAGTTTAATTATGAGCTTACTATGAAGCACTTCCATTTACCTGTCCTGATTCTACCACCACTTCAGTGGATGATTCCAAGTGCTAGGTATGAGTGGGAGCAATCCACTTTCTCCCCCTGTGCATTAATTTTATATACTTCTACATCATATACTCTTCTGTAATTTCACCCATATTTTTTGCTTTTTTCCCCTAGGTTGAACCTCCACCAACACTGTAACTTGCCTGACAACAGAGTTGCTTTTAATCTTTCTGATTGCTATTTTCTGCACATTTTCTATTTATGCAACTAGTTATGTACAGTGATGAAACCTCTACACAATCTTCTTAATCTGGTCCCGCTATATGACGTAATTTCAGTTTTATTTTTAGTTCCTTTTCTAATTATGCCCAGGAAGGAATTTCCCTTTTTCACAGCAGCTGTATTGTAGGCTTATCACTGACAATGTACCTTTGACAGAATGCCATCACCGATCTTAGCTCCTTAGCTCCTACACATAATTGCAAATTCAAGTCTTCCCTATCTGTTGTTTATACTTTAAAATTTCAAGCATATGCTTAGAACATCTCAGGTGTAATGTGTGAGTCTCCTCTGAGAATGGAAGCCATTGCTTGCTTTCATGTTAACTTAACTAAATGAACTTAACAGATGTCAGGTGAGACCCCCTTTCCCCCCTTCTGCCTTGCCAGCAGTTGTTCTTAGACAAGAAACTCTGAGACAAAAATGTCCTGGAAGTTCTAAAGTGCAACCTAAAGCATTGTGGAATGCTGCAGGCTTACATGAAGAACCATCTATTTTCTTGCTACCGTCTTTCTGGTTCACCCAGATGAAAGCTTGCTTCACAATGGTTCACTCCAAATCACCACTTTTCTTTCTAAGGACAAGGTGCTGAAAGGCTTTTTTGCTTAGGATTGGCAACCTTCCAACAGCCCCTGTAACTATGTTTGAGGTATAGTCAACAGACATGACCATCCTAATCTTGATGTTGTGAAAAGATCTGATGCCAACCTTCCTTGCCACTGTTAAAGCCATCACTGACCACCTCATGCTGATTGCATGCAGCACCTGAGATTACCCATCTTCTTGTGACAGACTGAATTTTTAGTTCTGCATACCCATGTTCATGAGCCTATGTGGCCTGAAATGGAATAAAATGTATGGTGTCTGCCCAGGTCATGAATATTCATATGCTATCTGCATGGACCATTGAGAGTGCTGGAGGGGCAGAGTCACGAGATATATGATTCTCTGCAGGAGGAGGAGGAGAGGAGATTGGAGTTTTGGAGGATTTGAGAGTTGGGGGTTGTGGCGGACAGCCCACACATCACTCCTGTCAGTCATTTTAGAGCTCCAGTGCAGGAGCCTATGATAGGACAGGAAGGGCAGAGTCAAGGGAACTGGGAGTGCCAGAGAGGCAGTTAGAGGGGAACACAGAGAGAGAGAGAGTTAGGGAAAAGATGGTGAAGTGTTTAGACAGGATAATGGACAGTTGGTTTGTTAGAGAATATTAAAAAGTTAAAAGGAATTAGAAGTACATAGACAGAGAATATATTGAGACCCTGATTAAAGTAACTGAATACAAGCAAGTTTATAAGTAATGAAATGCATGTTTATTGAATGAAAGATAATAGAACATCCATGATTTTCCTTATGCAATTCACTTATTAATCCTGAAATAAACCTTGTTTTATTTGGCAGCAAGGGTGTGAGATTCTTAATTGATATAGTGAGGATAATATCCTCTGGTGGCAGCGAAAAAGTGGAAAAGTACAAGTCTATGATGGAAATGTGTCTCTTGCCACAGTCTATGATGGAAATGTGTCTCTCGCCAGCCTGCAACTTCTCGCTCATCACCAGATGAAGGTTCCCGCTGGTGTCCTCCTGGCTCAGCATGGCTCACAGTCCGATGTGGGACGCCTCTGTGAAGACGGACCCTTGATGGAAATCTGGTTCTCTCCGGGCAGGACCGGTCATCAGCGCAGTCTCCAACCACTTGAAGGTCTCCTCCCAGTCGCTCGACCGCTGGATCCTGCCAGCTTTTTTTTTATGGGTTAGGTCCAATAAAGGGGCCTCTATTTTACTGAAGTTCTGGATAGAGCACCTCTCATAGCTAATTAACCCTAAGAATGATCTGTTCTTCTTTGTTGTTGGTCTAGGCCAGCTACTGATTTCTTTAATCTTCGATGTTAGGGGTTTGATTATGTCTCCCCCATCAATATGGCCTTTTCTTTTTAAACTTGGAGTTACTCAGCTGGCATTTGCTAGACTTCACTGTTAATCCAGCCTCATGTATTCTTAGCAGCCTCACGTATTCTTAGTAGCACTTTTTCATTATGGTGTAGGGGATCTGTCCATATCTGACTATAGATCCTTATCTCAGTTATGTATGCTACCATGACTTCTCTAAACTTGATCAGGTTCACATGGACCACTCTTTGACCTTCCTCTCCCTCCTCCTGAATTATGTGATTTATTTTAGTCATCTTGGATTTTATTCTAACAGGATTTGCCCAGTTTATTTGCATCATATTCCATTTTATAGATCTCATCCTCAGGACTTTTTCTTCGTGACTGAACGATCTTGCCATGGCATCGGCCACCACCCGACGGGGGTTTCCAATCTTCCAACTTAAAAGGGTTTCTGCCCTGAACATTCCGAGGACTGGGCCACTCAGGCGGGGTGTCTGGGTTTAATAATAATCTGTTCTCTCCTTCCAATGGGGGGGGTGCCCTCCTCTCCAAAGTCTACCCAGTCACATTCCCTGGGGGGTTCCCCCGTCTGCCATGGGGTCTCTCGATTTCCCTCTGATGCATCTCCCACATCCTCCGTTCCAACCTCTCTCTCCACTCCCTCTCAACCTTCTCTTTCTCTTCCCTTAATTTCTTCTGCCACTCCTTGGTCTCCTTCTCACCCCAGCATGATCGCTTGGGAGTGAGTTTTCTCCTCCTCCATGCATCTACTTCTTCCTTTGGAACCCTTAGCTTTTCTACTTGCCCCGTCCAGGGGTCTTCTATCCATATTCATTCCCAATTACCTGGTAACTCCCCTTTCCCTCCTTTTATATCTCCCAACCCTGCCTCCACTACTTCCCGGCCTTTTTCTCCTGTGCCCACCAATAGAGTCCTGGTTTCCTTAACCTTTAGTTCATTTAAACCCTTCTCTAGGTTCCCCAGGTCTGGTCCAGGTGGTCTTGTCTTCCTGGCTGGGGGAACTGGCGGGGTCTGGCTTTCTTTCTCAGTGGTTGGTGGTAGGGATGGAACTCCCGTGAGAGGGGGGTCTCTCTCTCACCTCTGGTCTCACAAGGGGGATTGCAGTTTGGATGTTTGGGGTGGATAGAGAGAGAGTTGATGGTTGAGGGTGGATGAAGTGGGATGTTTGGTTAAAGTTAAATAAATTGATTGTACCTTCATCACCTTTGTAATGAACTGAAGGATCTTGGGAATTGTAGTCCCATAAAGATGGAGGCAGTTAGGTTCTGTGAAAAATGAGTTAAAAGCAATGCAATGTGTGAGACAGTTTTTTCAGATTTACTGCCTGGTACAGAGAAGCATGGACAGAGATAAGAAGGCAAGGCCAGAGAGAGGTCTAGAGAAGACCAAACAAGAACACTGCTTAATTGGAAGCAAGATAAGGCACCTGTGGATCTCATGTGAAATATGGGTGGAGAGTTGTGTTAAGCTTTCTTGCACTTAATTGGTGGACAGCTAGAAAGTGTCAAGAAGAAGGAGGTCTTAGGACATGTAGAAAAATGATTGCTTGTGTATGCAAAATGTTGATTCATGGCATGTGGAGGAACGCTTGCAGAATGTAAGAAAAAAAAGGTTTGCCTTTTGAAAGAGGAGAAGTGGGAGTGAATAGCCCAGCTTCGAAGCCAAGGTTATTACTTAGCTAGATTTTAGTATTTCTTATTTTAATAAGAAATAGCAGCTTTATTTAACCATTGTATGCTTAAAGAATGTAAGAGGAAAAAGGGTTGCTTTTTGAAAAGAGAGAAGGGGGGTGAATAGCCCAGCCAGAAACCAAGATGATTACTTAGTTTAGTTTTCAATATTTCTTATTTTGATAAGAAACAGCAGCTTTATTTAATCATTATAGTGTGTGGATATGTCTTATGCTTAATGCTTTTGCACAACAACTGTATTCTAATGAAACTTACTTTATTTTCTTAATAAAAACAAATATTCGTACAGAGGACTGGCCTCTTGAAACAGCAGGGCTTACACTTAAATCAAGTGGAGATTGGAGAAGGTCATTAAGTAGCTACTGTAATTACCAGGTCTTCCTTTGCAGGGCTGTTGTGATATCTAAGTAAGCACAAAGCCAATGCTCATTTATTTGGAAGTAAGCAAAGGTTTCTGTTAAGGTCAAGATAGCCCATGAGGCTTTTGCTATTCACTTCTGAGGCTAAAGGACCTACCTCATAAAGGTGGTAGTTTTGTGCTCACAGATACTCCTTGTCGAAACATCATTCTTTAGGGAGAGGTGATCGTTATAACCTGTATTAATAAACAACTACTCTTTGGTTCTACTTAAAAATGACACATTGCCTGGACCTCTATTATTAATAATACATAATGTTGATGTAACCAACTGGTGGTAGTG